GTTGTTGTGAGGAGAAATGGGCTGAGCATAGTAATGTGTAAGCGGTACACTAAAAAAAAAAAAAAAGGCTGTTGAATGTGAATAAATAATCATAAAAATGCAAGTGATGTGTCGTCTGTGGGATTCTACTCTGGTTGTCTGACCTGCATTTAAAAGTGTGTGTAGGGGGGAATTTGGGGAGAGCCGCTTAGCCTTTTGAACACCTGAAGTTGGCTCCCTTGTTTGCATTTCACTGAGAGTACTAATGAAAGTAAACAAGGAGCTTTGGTGAATTATTTAGCATACAAATAAACCAGGAAAAAAAGCAGGCTAAGTAGGCCACCATGAGCTAACTTGGATTGAAATATTCATCTGTAAATAACTCTTCAATCTGCTTCAAATACTACATGGAACATTAGCCACAACTAGCTTCCAGGGATATTCAGGCTCGCTGGAGAGCAATTTTTATGTCTACTGGCATCTGTGGGTAGTGATATGGACTGAGTCTTAATATAACCAACATAAAATTTATGGGAACACTCAGAGCAATAGCGACACACCGTCAGACAGCTGGTGGCTGATGCATAGCACATGCAGGTTTTATATGTGCTGTGTAAACTAACCTTTGCAATAAAGATTTAGCAGGTTTATTAGTTTAGGAAATCGCTATAATTAAGGATAATTCATAATGGGTGCTTATCCACTCTATAGCAATCGCAAGCTTAATTTGGGCTCAATTTCTTTGAGTCATAAATAAGTGCGCTACTATCTCCGGCACAGATGTGGCATTCAACCTGTTCAAGTTGGTTGGTTTTTGCTTGTGTTTTAATCAAAAGAATTAGGAGATAAGCCAATAAAATGCAATGTGCTTGAAATGAATTAGCAAGAAAATGCAGAGTGGAAGTTTGGAAAACTCCACTTTAAAAAGAGAGAGAGAGAGAGAGAGGAGACTGAGAGATGCATTTCCTAGGCAGAATACAAAACAAATATTCATATTCCATGGGAAAGAACCCTTGCTGTACATCTTCCAATCTGGAGACAAGGGCCATATATGGCTAGCCCAATGTAAGTAACAAAGGGGGGCAGGGGAAAGATACGATGTGACCTTTGCATGCTATTTCTGTTCCACAGTGCTGGTAATTGGAGGTTTGACCTTTACGAGTACATGGTGACTCAGTTATGTTCTTTTGCCTTCCAAATTCTCTGTGCACAATGAAAAGGCCCAGAAATATGCATGTGACGGGCAATGGAAGTTGACTTTTGAGCTCACCTTGTCTTGAAATTCAAAGAATACCTCAGCTTCTTCAATAAAGATCAAAACTGAGCAAGTTCAAAATGGCTTCTGCAGCATCAGAAGCTCTGTGAACTGTGTGTCAGTCCAATGTTAGTGCAAGATTCAGAAAAGTTTATGCAACAAGATTAAAACCATCCTCTGCCTGAGATCTCAGAAAGAGGTTAGTCATCTGAGTAAACAATATTGTGCTGGATGATAGATACAGAACCTGTGCTCCTCCATATGTTGCTGGGTTTCAGTTCTTATGGGCCCTAACCAACATGGCCAATGAACAGGGACAATTGGAGGTGCAGCCCAAGAACATCCAGAAGGCCAATCTGCAGGGCTGGGGAGACTGATTAAGATGGTTCATGTCATAAAGCTTATGGATTGCAAGCTTACACATAAAGCTTACACAATTCCTGATGACTCTGGCAGGTGATTCTGTTATAGTTCAGGCTGAAGGATTAGTGAATACCTCATTGCAGCAAGGCAACTCCATCTTTTCTGAAAGAAACTGTGGTGAAGCCTCTACTAAAAAAACAAAAACGCATTGAACCTGACCATCCTGGATAACTACCAGCCAATCGCCAATATTTCTTTTCTAGGCAAAGTTCTGGCCTAGAAAAGAAACCTGGATGAAATGGATGATTGAGAAAGATTTCAATCTGGTTTCAGGCCTGGCAATGGAATGGAGAGAGCTTTGGTCACTTTGTAGGGGAACTGGACAAGGAAGTGTGTCTTTTTTTGGTTCTGCTGGGTCTTTTAGCAGCTTTCAGTTCCATCAACCATAGTATCCTTCTCAACTGTCTTGCAGGGATGGGACTTGGGGCACTATTCTGCAGTGGTTACAGTACTTCTTGGAGAGGCAAATTCATAAAGTGATGTGAATTCCTGTTTGACCACCATCTATGTGAATCTGCTGGGAGAGGTTATTGGGGGTTGGGTGTCATCCCCAATAGTGGAAATGGCATCTTAGCTGGACACATCTGCATGCAGTCCATGTCACTTTTGCAGGAGCTAAATTTGACTAATCCCATTCATATACTGATCTGCATTTTTTTAAACATTCATATTTAAATAGGCATTTCATAATATTATCTCCCTCTGGAAACATGCATTTCTGTCTTTCTCTCTCCTTCATATATATATGCATTTTTGATGGGCTATAATAGTCATTCAATTTTCCTTCCTTTTTAGTTAACAACCATCATCTGCTTTCATTAGATTTGCAGATGGGGACCTCTATTGGTCTAAAGAAAATGGCTCAATTAAAAAAAATACAGTAAAACATTTGGAGGGATTTTTTTTTCATTTAGAGAGGAAAATGATACCTATATTAAGTTATATGAAAGTATGAATGATGCAGAGTAAATATACAAAGATATTGGCTTGTGACACATGCAAATGTAACTTGGAGTTATGCATGCAATTTTATTATTATTATTATTATTATTGAAATTATGCAAGGAACTGTTCACTTGCTCCTTGCACAATGTCCAATCCTCCTCTCCCCATCAGCTGTCAACCTTGGAGATACTGTGATGGCTATTTACTTACAGAGAGAGGGAGATGACTCAGGATCACCCATTCCAACTGCAGTTCTGCAGCTGGGGAAAGAAGAATACCAGGTCATACTCCTGGATCTTCATCTCCATCTCTGTTTATATGGTGGCACTTATGCAACTTCCTGTGGCTGCTCATGGACAACAAAATTCTGATATAAGACTGTGCTCCTAGATTATCTTCATTGGCAACATGGCATGATGGTTTGAGTGCTGGACTATGACTGTAGAGACCAAGATTAGATTTCTGCTCAGCCATAAAACCTACTGGTTGACGTTGGGCAAGCCACAGGGGAAGGCAATGGCAAACCTCCTTTGAACAAACCTTGCCAAGAAAGCTCCATGATAGATTCACTTTAGGGTCACCATTCATCTGAAATTACTTGAAGGCACACAACAACTAAAATGCAGAAGTAAACCACAGAATTCCTTGTCGTGAGATGTGGGGATGGCCACTGGTGTAGATGACAATAGTGTCATAAAGGGCTGAGTCTATCATTGGGCAGAATGAGGCAGTTGTCTCAGGAAGGAAAGGATGGTTGGGGACAACAGTGGATGAAGGAAGCAGTGGCTACCACATGATTGCTCTTCTTGTCAGAGAAGAAAGAATTGTGTGTCCTAGAAAACCTGTCCTGCTGCCTTCCAGCTTCAGGATTTATTTTATTTTTATTTATTTCATTTGCATGTTGCCTTTCTCCCTAGGTGGATATCAAGGTAGCTTCCAGAAAGAGTTGTTAAAAAACCCAGAACAATAAAAATGTTAACAACAATTAAAAATCATCACATAAAACATTGCCAGTGCTAAATACAGATTTGTCTGCCAGTAAAGTTGGTTTATGGAGCTAGAAGGGGGATGAAAGGCATCTTTTTGTCCCCCCCTTAACCAACACAATGTCTTAGGCTGGCTCTAGCCATAATGGCTAGACAGAGCCCTCATGTTCCAGGACAGCATGTTATTATGTACCAATGACTGGAAGCAAAAAAATTGCATGGAGGTGGTTGATATCATGTCTTGCTTTGGGACTTCATTAAATCCCAATTTCCAATTCCTTTTGGAAAGGAAAAGGTTGCTGGATTGTCTTAGTACTTGTTCCAATTGAGCAAAGTTATTTTTAATGCTTCAATCAGACTGTCCCCAACCTGATGTCCTCCAGGTGTCTTGAACCAACTTCCACATTTCCCATGACAGGAGGGCTCATGACAATTGCACCCAAAAACATCTAAAATGCATCAAGCTGGAAGAACGCTGGCTTCAGGGATAACAACACTGTAAGCCTGAATTATACTAATTTGGCTCAAATTCTAATTCATGCTCAACTATGAAGTTGAGGAGGGTATTGCCTAGAACTTAAAAAGTAACTTTTGTGGACTAAAACTCTCCAAATACTCCAGCCAGCATAACCAGACCCTGGGAGCTGAAGTCTAAAAAACTGTTCTTCCTAGGTGCCACTGTTTTCCCAGCAAAACAAGTACCAGAATCTTCCAGGTGTGTTGAAAGCATGGATGATTTGTAATATAGATATATAGATACACACGTGCATGCCATAAATAAATATATATCGCTAGCAAGAGAGAGAGAGAGCAAGAGCAATAGTATACATTGAAGTTAACCTTTTCCCGCAGTCGCCTGGGGCCCTTGTGCTCCAGCCTTCATGTAGCCATGCAGTATTTTAGCTTTGGACTGACACATCTCTGTGTTGCTCTGGATTTTCAATCCTTCATGACTATCTATTTGTCACTTGCAGGTGAGTGGTAGCACTCAGGTTGATCCCTAGCCACTTTCACAGTTACTTATCTGTCTTTATGGATTCATCCGCTGTGTCAACTTGGTGCATAACAGCATTACTGTCAGGGTGACAAAATTGTCCCCGGAGTGTCACAAACGATTCCCTCTCCAGATGGATACAAGCAGGTAGTAGCTACACACAGCCTCAATCTGGCTGCTTTTTTCTCCCCCTGCTCTCCCCACTGCATTCCTGTCTCTGGTTTTAATCGTTCTCTAAAAGTAGGCTCAAATAGATCTAATTTAAATTAAATGGAGAACCCTCTCATTTCAAGCTTTTAAATAAATGAGGTTAAGAGGAAAGAGAACGAGAAGCAAATAATGGTTTCACAGTTTCTTCTTCCTCTGTAGGATTCCTATTCACGTTATTATGAAATAATGGAGTGTAGCCTTTTCGAGAGCCAGTGTGGTGTAGTGGTTTGAGTGTTGGATTAGGACTCTGGGAGGCCAAGGTTCGAATCCTCGCTTGGCCATGTAATCTAGCTGGGTGACCTTGGGCAAATCATATTCCCTCAACCTCTGAGGAAAGCAATGGCAAACCCCCTCGGAACAAATCTAACCAAGAAAACCCCATGACAGGGTTGCTTTAGGGTCATCATAAATAGGAATAACTTTAAGGCACAAAAAGAGACAGAGAGATTGTTGCAGTTAAGGTTGTCAATACTTAATTTAATCCCCTTTTGGCATACAAAAACACACACACACACACACCTTGGGGTAGGCAATGGCAAACTTCCTAAGAAATCTTGCCAAGAAAACCCCATGATAGGGTTGCCTTAGGGTCAGCATAAGTTGGAAACAACTTGAAGACACACAACACACACACACACACACACACACACACAGCCTTGGGTCCCTAGTCAAGGGATTCTTTTTTTTGTTGTTGTTGTTGTTGTTGCTGTTAGCAGACAGAGATCTGTTTAAATAAAAAGATCTTTCACTGTCTTCAGCTTTTCACTCAGTGTTGCAAAACAGTCTGTTAATGGGGTATGCTATACCTTTATCTTAAGAGGTGACATGATGGCCATGTTTAAATATTTGAAGGGATGTCATATTGAGAATGGAGCAAGCTTATTTTCTGCTACATCAGAGACTAGGACATGGAGCAATGGATTCCAGCTACAGCAAAAGAGATTCCACCTAAACTAGGAAGAACTTCCTGATAGTATGAGCTGTTTGATAGTGGAACATGCTCCATTGGAGGGGGGTGGTGTCTCCTTCTTTGGAGGTTTTTAAACAGAGGCTGGATGGCCATCTGTCTGGAGGGCTTTGATAGTGTATTGCTGCATGGTAGAATGGAGTTGGACTGGATGGTCCTTGCAGTCACTTCCAATTCTAGGATTCTATGGTTCTATGATTCTGAACCAACTGGCTGCTTATCTGACAATTCACTCAGTCAGATGCACTCTCCAGCAGTATTGGCTGGGATGTGTTGGGAGAAATCAGGACCAGCTGATCAGCCAGCTCAAGCCAGAAAGATGCAGGAATTATTATTGTTTGGGCACTGCATCAGGAGAATTGAAATGACCAAGGCAGAAGGACCAGGATACTGATGTCAAGAGCCACAGTCTCCCAACATCTGCAGCCACCTCAATTTACCTTAGGATATGGCCATCCCTATCCAAATGATTGTTCTACTCAGTGTGCTTCTCTCCATCTCACATCAAAGGCTTTCTGAAATCCTGTTCTGATTCTTGGCAAGAGTGTTGTGTCCCTTTTTTAGTAGGTGTGGTGGAAACGATGGGGGGGCTAGTGGCAGCTGGTGGCTCCCAAAGAAAGTGAATCCACTACAGGTACTCATATAAGCTATCCAAGGTGATGAAATCTCCTCCCCCCCACCAAAAAAAAATGTTTAGCACTTGGGACAGCATCTTTAAAGTTTTCACTAAAATCTGGAGATAAAGAGAAACAAGGGGGCAATTCCATCCATCTTGTCTTCAGGCCAAGGACCAGGGTGCTGATGTCAAGGTCTTGTCTTCAGGTTGGCATGTGGCCTCTGAGAGATTATTATGGGACCTTTGAAAGAAAAAGTGATGGTCCACCCTGTTCTAAATTTTGACATCACTTACATATTGGCAGAGCCTAGGAACTGATATGATTTTTAATTTTTTTGCTCCTTCCAACATTTAATATAAATCTGGTTGTCTCAACACAATAAAACAACAATTTGAACCTTCTCCAGCTTCATGAAATAACATGTATACACAAAACTGAGACAAGAAGCAGTGAGCTTTTTGCTCATTGTGCTTTCTGAAATTTGTGCAGAATACATTTTGCACAAAACTCCTTTATCCGCACAAAACTGGTGTATTCTTCCCTTTTTGGTGCTAAGTGTACAAAGACACAGCAGCACAACAGGGCAGGCTGAATTCTCCCAAAAACACAATTCCCCCCTCCCCGTCCAACATTACTTTTAATAGTTCATGCAACATGGCAAGGATTATTGCATTTTAAGATCAATGTGTTTCTATTGAAGAGAATTTTTTTTGAAGTTTTCACTTAACCAGGATTACATTCCCACTCTGGAATAAGGGTGAGAAACAAAGATATTATTACAACATAGACCTATATTTTTAAAATCTTTTAATGAGCATTCATTGTTTATTTTTACCAAAACATTCAGCATATTTCTTTTTTTAAAAAAAGAAAAGAAAGAAAAGGGAGGAACACATGCCAAATAAAGTAATTTAGAAAAACACCTGCCTGTGAAATAAAAAAAAGGTTTAAAAAATATAAAGCTTCTCATGGAATCGCTGACCTCAGAGGCTGACATGGTTTGATAGGAAATTCAGTGTAATAGCTGAAGAAAGCCAAAGTGTCTATTGTCAGCATTGAAGTCTGAAAGTTAGCAGAATTAATATAAGGATACAATAGAAGTGCCCTCCAGAGACAAGGCAGCAGAAACAGGGCAGGCGTAAGGGGAGGAATGACTCTAGAAGTCATTTTTACTACGATATCCTGTCATTGCTGCTAAACAAAAGTAATAATATGTATATGTATATATATATATATATATATATATATATATATATATATATATATTCCCACCATATGCTTCTGTGTGCATTCTTTCCTTCTCTAATATAATCTAATAACATCAACATTGTAATGCCCTAACTAAACTGGAGAGAGATTCTCCAGGGAATAGAAAGGGCTTCATTCAGAACCACTGAATGCAATAAGAATGACTGCAGAGGGGAGTCTGTTCAGTGGATAAGGATGCTTGTGCTCCAGCCCATTGAAATGCAATAAATTTCAATGTTTCAAGCAAGAGTTGAAACCCATTCCCTTGTTATTTTAATGTCATGGAAGCAATCTTCTCTGAAACAGAATCCTTGTCTTTTTTCTTTCATTGAATTTGATTTTCCCTGTTTCTTCCCTTCCTTCACTAATTAGAGTTAGGGATTGACCAGAATTAGGAATTAATGTGTTACAAGCAATGTTTCTACCTAAAAGTTACTTTTTTGGCAGCAAGGATTCCATGAAGTTACATTTCAAACAGAACATAATGCAGGAGGATGAAATATTTTATCGCTCTAATCAATTATATAGTTACTTATAGAAGTTACTTCAGAAGGGCATTTTAGGAGATGTGTCCACTCTCCATGCATCGGAATGAGGACTATTTTTCACAGTATGACAGAGGAACCTTTTATGCTAAGATGTGTAGCTACTTAGGGCACATTTAAACATCTGGTTTTAAGTTTGGCCAACAATTTTTCAAATGGAATCCGAATATGTTTGGATTATGAGAGTAATAAAAAAAAGCAAACTGGACAAGCAGAATGACCTACAAGTCCTGTGACTCCATGCTATTATATTTAAGAGTTTGATACACAAGTCAAATTAATGACATTGTTCCTTTTATGGAACTGGTTTTATAATGCTCATTTTCCTCTCCCTGTTTCCCTCACCATCTTGTCCTTTTGTCTTGCATCTTTTAGTTCATAATCCTGAAAGCAGGGTTGCTGAGACTCTTTTTGTCAAGTTGTAAACTGCACAGGGAGCCTTTCTTTCTGAAGAGTGGGATAAAAATCTTCAAATAAATAGTATAAGAACTATATGAACAAAGTTGTGTGTGCGTGTTTGTGTAGGTCTCTGCCATAGCTGTATGAACATCCAAAACCTGTCTTGCATACTAAAGGGATTTGGGGATGTATATCCTCAGATCATTTTATTTCTAATGGATTAATTAATGTAAATTCATTCCTATCTTCAACCACTAGGTGGAAGATGTCACTAACCAAATAATAGGCAAGAACCCTTAGGCTGGTAAGGGTAAAAGTAGAGTAATTGGTTCCATAGTAAATAAAGAGCAACAGGGAAGTGGGGTGAACAAAGGTATAGTAAGATTGGCTGTGTGATCGGGGAAAATTGCATCTAGCTGTGTAGAAGAGATTGACAAAGTGGGAGTGCGCTCAGGGCTTTCTAATCAATCCAAAGATGGGTGTTTCTACTAATAAATAATAAATTCTGATTGATTTGGATCAATGGGAAGTTTCTAGGCCTTATGGTAGAGGAGATAGTGACAATGGGGAAGAACAGATCCAAAGTTCCAGTCATCAAGGTGGTGTACTTTTCCCAAAAGAGGGGAAAACCTCACAATATATGTTTACTTATGATGTGTTTTACCTATATGATACATATTAACTCATTCCTAGGTAAGTATGCATAAGATTACAATGAAAATTAACTGAAATGTATATATACCAGGATCCAAAGGTCCACCTATGTGCTAAAGCTTTCTATATATAAGGGGCTTGAGACTTTCTACAGCAGTCCCTTATGGCCCTCCTCAAAAGTTACCCTTGAAGTGAAAGAGGACCAGCTGGTGTATCATCGAATGAGTAAGAAGACAAAGCTAATAGATCTACTAGGCACACATATAGTAATATAGCAATGTTTTGAATCCTAACCGATACATATTTTCCCCTAATGTATGCATATTGCATGATCTAGCTTTTCCTGGATAAAATGTAGGTGATGTTAGTCCCCTGCATATTAATCAGAGCCATCAAAAATATTTCATGCCTGCAGTGAGTTTTTGGATTGCAGGGGAGGGCAATCTTCCCGTTCTCCTACAGATTATGAAGACAGATGTAAATGAGTTTAAAATAAACAGGCCTGAGTGCTTGAATAAAAGATAAGATAATGAAAAATAACAACACACCACTATCCAGATGCAAGCTGTCCTGACGTTTAAAACACTGTTGGGATGGGGCCCTTCTCCTATTTTTAACTGATTATTTTTGTGGACTTTTTTAGATGATAACCTATCCACATTTCGTGGAATGAAGCCCCACCAGATGAAAGGAGGCTTACTCTTGAGTAAACATACACTGGAGCAGGTTTGTTCCTTTCTCTGGCTGTTGCTGTACTTAGTGACAGTGGTGGAGAGAAAGGAGGGGGCAGGGTGGGGAAGCAAGAATCTAATTATCGTTTTAAATGCCCAAAATACCATGTCCACCAAAAG